TTTTAATCATAAATGCATATTGGACCTTGTCAAAACCTTTTTCTGCATCTATTGAGATGATCATGTGGTTTTGGTCTTTGGCTGCATTCATATGGCTTATAACATTCATAGATTTGTGAGTATTGAACCACCCCGGCATTCCTGGAATGAATCCGACTTGGTTGTGATGTATGATTTTCTTGATAATTTGCTGCATTGTATTTGCTAGATCTTGTTGAGTATCTTTGCATCTATATTCATGAGGGAGATTGGTCTGTAATTCTCTTTCTTGGTTGGGTCTTTCTCTGGTTTTGGTATCAGTACGATGCTTGCCTCCAGAAATGAGTTAGGGAGAATAGCTTGACTTTCAATTTCATTGAAAACTTTGAGGAGTGTTGGTATTAAATCTTGTCTAAATTTCTTGTAAAATTCTGCTGTGAATCCATCAGGGCCTGGGCTTTTCTTTGTTGGTAGGTTTTTAATCACCTTTTCAATCTCATTAATTGATATTGGGTTATTCAGGAATTTGACATCTTCTTGACTCAACCTTGGTAATTCGTACATATGTAGGAATCTGTCCATTTCTTCTGAGTTTTGTATGGTATGGGAGGAAAGATTTTCAAAGTAGGTATTCATGCTCTTCAGAATTTCTGTGGAATCTATAGTAATTTCATCGTTTTCATTCCTTATTGCATGAATCTGAGTTGTTTCCTTCCTTTTCTTGATAAGGTTTGCTAATGGTTTGTCAATTTTATTTATTCTTTCAATGAACCAATTGTTTGATTCATTTATTTTTTGGAGGGTTCTCTTTGTCTCAGTTGCATTAATTTCTGCCCTAGTCTTTATAATCTCGTCCCTTCTTTGGCTTTGGGCTTGACTTGTTCTTATTTTTCTAAAAGTTTAAATAGCATTAAACTATTTATTTTTTCCCTTTCTGCCCTCCTTATATGTGAATTCACCGCTATAAATTTCCCTCTGAGGACTGCTTTGACTGCATCCCATAGATTCCGTTAGGTGGCATTTATATTTTCATTTGTTTGTAGGTATTTTTCAATTTCCTCTTTAATTTCTTGTTGACCCATTGGTTGTTTGGGAGGCTGTTGTTTAATTTCCAAGTGTTTATAGAGATTTTGGCATTCCTTTTGAAATTAATTTCCAATTTGATTGCACTGTGGTCAGATAATATGCACGGGATAATTTCACTTCTTTTACATTTCGGAAGGTATGCTCTATGGGTTAGGATGTGGTCTGTTTTAGAGAAAGACCCAAGCGCAGCTGAGAAAAATGTATATTCTGATGTTGTGGCGGGGAACACTCTGTGTACATCTACTAAGTCCATTTGTTCACAGCTTTGATTCAGATCTGTTTTTTCCTTGATGATTTTTTGTCCAGTTGACCCATCTGTTTGTGTCAATGGGGAGCTTGAAGTCCCCTGTTACAATAGTGTTATTAATTATATGGGTTTTCATGCCTGTTAAGATTTGTCTTATATAATTTGGAGCTCTGATATTTGGTGCATAGATGTTTATGATTGTTATCTCATCCTCTTGCAGTTTTCCCCTGACTAGTATGTAGTGACCTTCTTTATCTCTTTTAATTGTTGTTGGTTTGAAGTTTACATGGTCTGCAAACAGAATACCTACCCCTGCTTTTTTCTGGTTTCCTGTTGCATGGAGGATTGTTTTCCGTCCTTTGACTTTTAGTCTGTGGATTTCATTTTGAATAAAATGTTTTTCCTGTATACAGCATATCGTTGGATTTTGTTTTTTAATCCACTCTGCCAGTCTGTTTCTTTTGTCTGGAGAATTGAGGCCATTTGCATTTATAGTTATAACTGATATGTATTGATTTATTATTGTCATGTTATTTACTTGCATTGATTTCCTACTTTTTTTACCTGTTTTCTTGCTTGCTCTTCTTGATGTTTCCTTTGTGCTGTTGTTCTT